TTTTAGAAAACATATTTCAAGACTTTTATTTCAGAATTAAAAAGATGCACAGCCACTTACTTTTAGCTTGATTCTGTTATCATTAAAAATGCAACTCGTTTACTCTATGACTTTCTTTCAACATCAAGGGTTTCTACTTGTTGAAAATACCTTTAAATTACAAAATTCATCTGTAGGTTGCTGTGGAAGCCAAGTTTCAGCAAAAACACTTAGTGCATTACAGAATTTTCAAGATGGGAAGGTTAAGAATATCATGTGGGGCCGGGGATTTGGCTCAGTGGCACCGAGCCTGCTTCACAAGGGCAAGGTCCTGAGTTTGATCCCCAGGACCAAAAAAAAAAAAAAGAACATCATGTGATCTAATTTGTTGAATAGCTGGCTAAAGGATTGTCATAATCATTTTGCAAATTAAAAAATAAAAAACCTGAAGCCCAGAAAGTTAAATAATTTCCATAAGAACATAATAGATGCCACATTGAAGAGGTGGATCAAAAACTACATATTTTCCTCTCAGCATAACAGTTTATTAAATAACACTTTAATATTTATTATCTCACTCCATGTTATATTTGCCAAAACTGACCTAAGAGATTCAATTTTATTTTACTAAGTACTGTACATGAAAAAATGTGCCTAACACATGACATGACATAGGAATTAAGTCTCATTATCCCCAAAATGTCAGGCCCAGTGAAAGGCTAGGGTAAATGAAGATAAAAACATACCTCCTGCCCCAAAGGAGCAGCCCACTAGAGACAAAGTAAACAAGCACAGCGGTAGTGCCAAGTGCTAGAAGGACAGGAACAATACTACTGACAATAAACACAAATTACAGTAGGTCACTGTTGGGGACCACACTCCCACACTGGGCCTCAACAGACCAGGCTAAAAGTGAAAATGGAGTCACTTATGCTAAAGCTCCATGTCTCAAAAATGAAACTACACTGTGTATCTGACCTTCTGAAAAAAGCAGAATTAGAGAGATAAACAGCCAAAATTTCCCAAAGAGGCCAGTTTCATTAGGCAAGATAATGCAGATGCCTCTGTTTTCACCTGTACACAGGGAAGGTAACCTGAAGTAACCTGATATTAACCAGTTATTTCTCCATTGCTCTGTCTCTTTGTCCCTACCTTACAAGGTAGGTAAGCTTGAAATGACTGATCTGCTTTTTGTTTTGTTTCTTCTTTCTTCAGTTCTTTTCTACTTATGAAACTAATCCCTTGCTGGGCACAGGGGCACATCTATAATCCTAGCTACTCAAGAGGTTTACCAAATTCCAGGCCAGAAACATAATGGGACCCAGTCTTCAAAATCAACTAAAACTAAGAAAAAGGGATCTGGGGGTATAGCTCAATGCCAGAGAAATTTCCTCACACGTGCAAGGCCCTGGGTTCAACTCTTAACATTGCACAGCCAAATCAAACCAAACCAAGGCAAAACACTTCCTCTATTCAGCTCATTGAGCATTTACTTTATTCTGTGGAATAAAATGTTGCCCAATTCTAGAATAATAAACAACCCAACTAAGATCTTTAAATTGTTATAATTTCATCCTTTGGCATTAGTGATGCATATTTAGGACCAGAGAGACTTCACAAGAATAAATACAGTAGTGAAAAGAGTTGGTATAGACAAAGCAAGGAAGGGCACACAAGAAGCCATGAGCCCATATTTCTGGAGCTGCAGTCGGTATGGATGGAAGGTACAGGCAATGTGGGGATGGGCAGGAGGCAATGTGGCTGGTAATGTGTCCACTCAGGTGGACAGCTAGGGAGATTCACTTACGTAGGAAAGTCTCAAATTTATCTGGAAGAGATGAAGATTTCTCTAGAATTCTAAAATGGCTCCTTCTTTATGGGGGTAATAGCACACCTAACATCTGGCCATGAAGGATCAAGGAGCCTCTTTCACTTCAGAACACATCATTCAGGGTAGTCAGAATCCAAGCTCCCAGGCCATGTTCCTTCACACTTAGGTCAGAATAAACTACTGCTTATTCCTTAGTTGTTTACCTGACTTTTGAGCTGCCCTAGCAAATTACAGAAATTGAAGAAGAGGTTGAAGGGGTTACTTCTAACCTGCAGCAAAGACAGAAACTGTAGATAAGCGAGACCCACCACTTAGGACTGGCTTCTGCAGTGCAGAGAAGTCTTGTGAGGTTTGTTCATAACCTGGGGGATCTGTGCGACCTCCAGGTACTTGGTGTTAGAACTGAGCTAAACTAGAAAACACCCTTTACTGCTGCCATTATCTGCAGAGAAGTATTAGGTGTGGGGGAAAATCCCACATATGACACAGAGGTAAAGTACTGAGACACAGTAGAAGAGCAAGAAAAAACAAGTTTTCCTTGAAGTAATTATTAACTTGTAAGTGCTTAGGTTGTAAAATTCAAAGAAAAAATGTGATAAAGTAACACTGAAAGAGCCTTTCAAAAATGGAGACAGGAGGCCATCAGGAAAGAGCGCCAAGGTGGATTCCAGTTGTGGCCCTGAATGTGGACTTTGGTCACCTCTGCCCTTTGATCTCAGGCATCTGGACCGATGTACATAAGTCCGCAATTACATTCTGCCAGAGGCTCAAGATGTGTATCAAGGGGTTACCGGGCTCGTGTTCTATGGACATTTCTTTTTTGTTTCTATACTCTTTTCTAGACCTTCTTTGGCATCTTAGTCTCTGCTCCTCCTTCTCCTGCCTTGCTCTGAACCTGGACTTAGAGCTATCCCAAATGACAAATGCTCAGGAAATCCTTTCACTTCTACTGTCTCTGGGTTTCAGCTAAGTCCTTCAGAGAGTAAATAAAATGATTAAAGATTTAGATGGACATACATTTACTCTGATTGCATGCTTTTTTTGTTTGTTTTGCATGTTGACCCTAAGGCAACTTATCAAAAAATGATTTCATCTTAGAAATTCACTGGTAAAATGAGCTCAGACAGGGAGCATCAAGGTTGTTTTGTATAATTATACCAACATTTTGAATTGTTAAAGTGTTCTCAGTAAATGTATTTGGGATTACACTAATTAATTTTTCAGTTATTTAATTATTTGGATATACCTTACAAGTCAATGTCATTTTGGGAAAGGGGTACATCTTGTTCTCACAAAAGAGGAGTTACCATAACTATGTCTAATTTTTCTAAGCTTAAAATAAGAGCAGAAAGTCACAGTTTATACTCAAATAACATCTGTTATCCACTTTCTTTTGAAAAATAACCCAAGTCATATTGAATTGCCTTCTTCAGAGTTCTTAAAAGATAGGCATTCCATCTCCACCGAGGCGCATTTGGTCATAACAGTGGTTGCGGGTTCTACTCAAATAGCTACTAGTATGACCTACCTACTCTAGGAGTAACAATCCCACAGCCAGATACATTTGTCTGGCAACAGATGTGCTTCTCAATGACACACTTGGGGGGTCTCTGGTGACTCACAGATGGTTGGCTCAGATGACATTATATGATCAGGAATCTTTAAATCACCTTCAGAAAAAACAATTCAATTTCAACAGGTACATTTCCTGTGAACTGGCAGTTTTTCTCATTTGGGGTAACAAAGCAGAATCTTTAAATGGGAATAAGTACTTACAATAATAAGCAGAACATAGAGCATTAATTGTATCTTTCTTGGGCCTAAATCTATGTGAGAATACTTTTTTTTTTTCATTTGAGCACAAGTAAGATGAAAAATATTGAGTATCTCAAGAGCTCAGATGCATCCTTGATCAAAAAAGAAGCAGTTGTGCCAGGATTTGAAAAAAATAGAAGGATCCTTTCTCCTATATTTTTTGTTTATTTAAATAATTAACTATCCATTTCTTTTTTCAATTTTTATTTTGGAAATAATGGGTTCAGACAGTAAATGTTAAATCAGTGTTAAAGAGTAGATTGAGTTGTCTAAATACAATCAAGCGCATCCATAGAAATGAACTGTATCCCAGCGAAGGTACTTCAGGACACCTTTTGCTTATTCATCCTGTGGTGTTGGGGATAGAATCCAAGTATCTGGCACGCCAGGCAAGAGCTCTGCCACTGAGCTAACACTCAGCCCCAGGGACATCTTTTAAATTTAGTTTTTAATTCCTCAGAGATATAGTCGCTCTGAAATTTTTAGTGAAAATGCCGTTTCTCTTTTTGCCAACAGGAGTAGTAAAATGTTTTCTCTGTTTTTAATCCTAGCCCTAGCACATCTGTCCTAACAATTTTTTTAAAAATTTTATTTTATTGGTACATTTTAGTATACAATATAATGACACTCATCATTGGAAATCTGCACCTTTACATAATCTCTCTTGGTTCTTATTTTTCCCCTTTCCCCTGCCCTCCCTTCAGCCCCTCCATCCCTCCCTATTTACAAAGACCTTGTTTCCATTTCTTCATTTTCTCATATTAATTCCATTCCCTTCTTTCCTTTCCCCTACCCGTCCCACTTCCCCGTCCCCTTTGCCCCTTTTCTTCCTATTTCACATTACCTATTATGTCTTTTAGTCCTTATCTAATCAAGTCAAGGTTATCTAATCAAGTCAATGACAATGTTCATCAATTAAAACATAGAGACCTTTTATTTTTTCACTGAAAAGAAATTTTGCTAAAAATTCATACTTAGCAGCATAGCTTAAAAGGAAACACTGAAGAATGAGGCCGCCTTCATATACTGAGGTGATCTTTTTTAAATGACTGGATTACTCAAGAGGCAAACTGAAGGCGAATATGAAAGAATGTTACATTGAACTTCTGTAAGAGCTTAGTAGCTTGTCTCCTTGACCCTTGTCTCTTGCACTACCCCCACCAAATTTTCCTGTACCACAGATTTCAGCTCCTTGCTGAAAGGGGCCCTACCATTTTTAGGACTAAGTATTGAACATTCAATAAATGATTATGAAATAAAGGCAGAGTACTCAAGAAATCAAGTGAGGTTCAGAGAGCAATTGGCTATGACATCTAGCCCTCTGTTAGGACTGGCCAATTCTGGCTACGCAGCTGTCACAGGACACTTCACTTACATATTCTCCATAGGCCTCCTGTGCTGGGGGAGGGGGTGGAGGTCTGTACCCAGTAGGGGGGACTCCTCTTGCTCTGGGTGTGAGAAGGCCTCTTCCCCGGCTCACTGGCCCTCGGGTAGAAAGGACTCCCCTGGTTGTCGGTGTCCCTCGTGGAACCCCAACTCCAACTGGCCGGGCCGTAACTGTTCCTCTTCCCCTGCAAGTATGAGGGTCACATCATCAGTATTTATCATGGTTTCTATTATTCCATTTCTCAAAGACACTTACAGCTCAGACAAGTCAATGTCCCATTTTTTTTTTTATAAAAAAGGAGTAAGAGAACTATATATGAAGTTAGAACCAAAGCAAGTAAGAGGCAGATCTACCAAAAGAAAATTGAGGCAGTTGTTCCAGCACAATACGGTGACTGTGACTCGATCACTGGTTCACAGACAGAGCAGGAAGCGGCAACATCCAGGGAAACCACATGTCCTGAACTGCTGCGTGATGTCTTGGCAGATCAAACCCAACATCACTTCAACATTGCCATCCTTGCCTATCTCTGGATAAGGAAACTGAAAGACTTGACAACTGCCTGCAAACACATGGGTGGCAAACGCATGGGCCAAGATAGAGCTCAAAGTTCCACAGAAGAACACAGACCCAACTCTTAAGGAGAAGGACGGTAGGAAACATTCTTGAGTGTCCAAAGCGATTAATGCAGGCCACCACAGGAGCAGTCAGATGTGGGGTGAGAAGACCTGCTGAGGAAAACATAAAACAGAAGGGACTGCCTGGAGAAGATTCAGTTCTATCTCTGTGTTACTCCCCTACTTCCTTCTCTGCCGGGTCTCCTGACCAGAGGAGGAGTGGGAGAGGCACTTCTCAGGCCAGACTGTAGGCAGAGACTTTCTGAACCCCAAAGTTAAAGCATACACTTAGTTCCCCGAATTTGGAACTAAAATGAAAAGGGTCTATTAAAAACTTGCATTTTCATGGTAGGATTTAACTTTACATTATTTACACCCTGTTTTGGAAAGGAATCCAGAAATAATAACAGTGGGGTGCATGAGTGCATGCATGAAGACTCAGTAATAACTTGTTCCACTGTGAAATTCCAAAGTTAGACATCCATATAGAACACTCTCACAAAGCTAATTCCCTGGCAAATTCAGTCATGTAAAAAAATAAGAACTGCCACTTACAAAAGAATATTCTGAATTGTCAGCATCTGACCGGCAGGAGTCTACAGAATGTGCCACTGTGCCCTATTATCCACCGAGGGATGCCCACATGCACGGGGCCTTTATGGATTGACAACACATTAAGAATAACCAACACAAAGGAAACACATAAAGTAAATTTAGTTTGATAAATGCCACTAAGTAACCGAGATAGGGCGTTAAGACCCAGCTTCTGGATTTGAGGACAGCTACTTTAAAGGAGGTGATCAGCAAAGGCTTCTCTGAGGAAGAGTCTGTGTGGGTCGAGAATGCAGTAAGGAGTAAGGCCAGTTTGTGCTGGAAACTGGAAGGAGAGATAGTCAGAAAGGAGAAGAGAGTGCCAGGTCACCCATATGCAAACCGGCAAGTCTGGAGTTCCTTATAGCTCCAATAGAAGCTACAGAAGGATCTGAACTAAAAAAATAAAATCAAATTTAATTTTAAATGGTCACTGAGACTATGAATGAAAACTGGGAGAATAGCATAGATTACATAAAAAATGGCAGGGATAATTGAAGAGATAGATTTGAGGTTTATTTTAGAAGTAAAATCAAAATGACTTATGAAGTCATTGGCTATGGTAAAGAGGAATGTCACTGAAATTTTATTACTTTATATGGTGACCAATGCATGAATATCCACTGTAGCATCTTCGATGTTTTAGGACCAAAAAGTTCTAGAAGGTCAGTAGGTACATTCTCTCCTTCTCCTCCTGTTCCTCCTCCTCCTCTTCTTCCCTCTCCCATCCCACTCCCCTTCTGCCTCTTCCTCCTTCTTCTTTGTATTATTACTGTTTCCAGACACTAAATTTAGACACTACATTCTGTACCTGTGCTTTTTTCACTTTTGGCGCTTTGGAAACTCAAAACATAATCTGAAGGTAACCCCAACAACTCTTCAGAATATTACAACATGCACTTTTTTACTAACTTTACCCTTGGGGTTTTTGTAATTTTCTACTCTAATTTCAACAGCAGTTTATTTTTATTGCCTTATTCAGATAGATAGATTATATTGGTCTCCCAAGTTAGCACATGCGATTTCATGAGAAAAAACAGTGAATAAATGTCTTTTCATCAGAGCGTGGATAAAAATGTTATCATGTACCATTATAAAAATATAATGAAGGTGTTAGAATAAAAGTTCGATAAAAAAACAACTAGGGAAAAGGAGGAAAGAAAAAATTCTTCCAGATGAACAACACAAGGAGAAGATCAGAGGGAACATGCTGGACTTTAGAAGCAGGCTGCCTGGATTCCAACCTGGCTCTATTACTGCTCTATCTCCCCTAAGCTGTGTGACCTGGGGCAGGCAGTGCACCGCTCTGCCCGTACTTCTGCCCTGCAGTGGGGGGCTAAGAAGACAGTGCTGGGCTCAAAGCACTGTTAGGAAGAAGTGTCACCTCTTGAGTATCTCTGAAGTGCCTTAAAATGTGCTCAGGAAGCAACAGGTGCTATGCATATATTAAGATAAATCTCATGTTTTGTTATAAAGTAGGATTTAAACAGGAGAGTGGAGCACAGAGAAAAATAATCAGCCACAGGCAGAAGAAACCAGAACAAAAGCTTGCAAGCTCAAACTTCATAGAGCAAAGTTTCCTGCTCAGGGTTGGTTAAACACACAGGAAATATGGCCATATAATGAAGAAAGACTACGGTGGAGAAGTTTTAGAAAAAATATGAAGGGTTTTGAATGCCTCTCTTAAGAATATGAACTTTATACTGTAGAAACAAGAAACAAGAAATTTAAAATATTTGGGGCCAAGGAAACCATAATCAAATAGGGGAAGGAAAGCAGGATATATGTAGCAGAGCATGGTGGCACATGCCTATAATCCCAGTGCTCAGGAGGCTGAGGCAGGAGAATCGTGAGTCCAAGCCCAGACTAAAGAGTGAGACCCTGTCACAAAAACAATTTTTTTAAAAGAAGGGAGAGGGAGAGGGAAGAGGAAAGGAGGAGGAGGAGGAGAAGGAAGGGAGCTAGGAGAGAGGGGAGGGGCAGAGCAAAAAGGAGAGGGAGAGGGGATGGGAGGACAACAGGAGGCCTGAAAAGGTGGAAGAGGAAGAGAAGGAGCAAGAGCGGGCAGTGGTGTTCAGCGTCCTGATGGCTCCTAGTGTAAGAACTGCTTACGGTTCCAAGGAAACACACTGCCCGCAGCACACCTTTAATTAGGGCTGGACCAGCCATTACGCTATGACAAACTGAAGACCCAAGCCAGAAATGAGAAAAAAGAATCTTATCAAAGAATATTAACCAAGACGATGAAACAAGTTTAAATGACCGGCAACATATACTTTGTAACCAAAAGGAATACATTTGTGTGGGCAGAAGAAGGTATTTCTCTAGGTGCTCCAAAATAATATTCTTCCTCATCTCTTCAGAACATCTTCTACTTAGCTTAAAAACTAACCACTAAATGAAGAATTATCTTCAGTGACACTGGCAGCTGTGATCTGAACGGCACACTGTGCCCTAGGCGATGGCAGTGGGCAGGCTCAATCTCAGCACTACCTAGGGAGGTTCGCCTTGTGTCTGTATCGGCAGAAAGGAACAGGCAAGACTAACTTAATCTAATCTTCAGTAAAACAGTAACACTGGGTCAGTTTATATTACAGGTGTATGTAAATAAAAGAAAAATTAGAACATGTACATTTTTGTATACTAAACTTGTAGTAGTAAGGTTATACATATCACTAAAAAGTTTACATATGGAATACACAGAGGTATCTACTTACCTGTCTAAATACATGATTGTCTACATACAGTCCGGAATCTCTTCGTGACAGGGATACGCTCTGAGAAATTCGTCCTTAGGAGATTTTTTGTACTACAATGCTACCATCACTACTGCATCATTAGGATATACTTACTTGCCCACCTATCTATCTGTCTGCCAATTTATATCCCTGAAAAGAAAGGAATGCTGGCATCGAAGTGTCAACTCTGGAAACTGTTTTTACTTACCTATATGGATTTTCTGTACCTTTTGGGGGCAAGATCTGAAGACACAAGTCTGATGTGAGTTTCTATTACATCAAAGTGGGGGAACAGTGGAGCTCCTGGTTGGGAAGCCTACATCCGTAAAAGTATCTCACCTATGAGCACACACTATGTTCTCTACACACATACAAACATAAAATAGTAACGCAGGGATAGGCCATGTTTGGAGGCTTCCAAAAATATTTTTAAATATACTATTATGTGTATGACGCATTTTGGGAAAATTAAAAACTCCTGTCATACAAAGATAACACTAATATAACAAATGTAGTAGACCAAATAATATAGTCAGGCCCCATGATGCTATCCTACTTAAGGTAACCTTAAGGTCTATAAGGTAACCTTTACAGGTCCCTGGGCTTAGGACAACATAACAGGGCATTATTTGATATTATTTGGCCTCATTTAAAAGAATTAAGGTAGGAATGTTAGAGTGAAGAGTAACCTATCTAAAGTTATCAGCTAGTAAATGGTTAAGTGATATTTAAGCCTAGGAATAGTTCCCTCCAAAAGAAATGTCCTCAATGAGACTTCACAATGTCAGAATATAGGCTTTACACAAATGTTATCAGTGCACCTGTTTCTAGCTATTAATATGAGAAACATGAAAATTATTGCTACACTAACCTAAAAAAAAGTCAATTAGTAACACCTACCTGGTTATTGCTGGGGTTGGCACACCTCTTGTACGCAAGGTGGGTTTCCCTCGAACTAGGGGAACATCTGCATTTTCTGATCCACCATTCAAATATGTTAATTCCTGCAGTTGTGCTTGCCTGATCTCATCATTATAGTCCTACACCAGAAAAAGGAGATGGTTTATTTACCTCATAATTAAAAATACAGAAGTATTCAGGATAAAAAAGCAAAAAATTGGTTTTTTAAGAAAGGACTAGGAAAACATTTGAGTTTCTAAAATAAAATGAGTTTGTTAAAATGAAAATATATTAATAAATCTTTATTAAAAAGCCACATTTTCACCAAGCTAAAATTTTCTTTAGTCAGCCATTACTCCTTTGTTTGGTCATAGTTTCCAGATAAAACATTTACAGCAAAATTTTAAAACATCACATGGGCATTGTTGTTTACAACTCAGTTCCACTAGAAGCCAGTGAGTATCTATGATGAGACAATAGAAAAACAAAGAGGAGTCAGCCACCTTCCCTGGAACCAGGGGACTCAACGCAGCCAGAAGGACATAGAGACAACGTGATGCTTCAGTGAAATTAAGAAAACCACATACACATTCTTCTCACTCATTTACTCATTTCCACTTGGATACTGCACAAGCTATAAATTCAACATTTAAAAATCTACTACGTAATCTCATTCCTGAAAACAGATACTTCTTTTACCTTACAATAATAACCCAATATTCAACTCAGAAACTATGAGAGTCCTCCTTGATTTCTCCCTCTTCCTTACCACCCTCAACTCTATTCAGTAGCCAACAAAGACACAGAATATATACAATCTTATGATTGGTTTTATAAAAAACCGAAGTTCACGTCCAAACAATCAAAAAAGGAAGGTCATTCAGCTCACTTATCAGTAGTAAGAGTAGGTTCTCTACAAGAAATTCATCTGAAGATGGGTGAGAACCAATTATCAGAAGGAGGGCAACTAAGTATTCCACACAGAAAGAAAAAAGGCATTTTAAAAGGCAAGTAAGATTAAACTCAGGAAATAAAAAGAGGTGCTGTATGGCAGAATTTTAATAATAATCATGGTTAAGGATGGATTAAAAGTGAAACGGAAAGTAGAAGCCACATCATTGGAAGCCTTAAGTTATTCCAAAGGTAGCTTTAAATGCTTGGAAATCAGGATGCTGAGAGCCAGTAATGGTGTCAAGGAGGTCAACTCCATGTGTGCGTTGTGTTCTGGAAAGAGTGTTCTAGTATTAGTGAATATAGAAAACATAAGACTGAACACAGCCAGGGATTTAGCTCAGTGGTTCCGCCACCTGGCCGGTAAGTGCAAGGACCCAAGTTCGATCTCCAATGCAAAAAAAAAAAAAGACTGAACACAGAGATCTAAAAAACACTGTGCCCTTCAAAAAAGACATGCTTTTCAAGTGCACATGGATTATTTCTAAGGACTGGGTATAAGCTAAGTTATTTTATAAGGCTCAATAATTTCAAAGAATTGAAATTATTTAAAGTACATTAGTGATAATGCAGAATGAATTAGAAAGAAATTCAGAAAATATGTCAAAATAAATATAAGTAAAACCATTAGAACAAAACAGACATCACAAGGAAAATTTAAAAATATCCTGAGATGAATGAAAAATTTAAAAAATAACATATCAAAATGTACAGGGGGCATCTAAATTAGAAATCAGAAAAATTTACAGCTTAAAGGTTTAAACAGTAAAAGATTTCAAATTGATAAGCTAACTCTTCACCTTGAGAAACAGAAACTAAACCAAATATACTACAATGAAGAAATAACAAAAATTAGAGCAAAATAAATGAAATAGCAAACCAAAAACAAGAGTAAAATCAAAATTTGGTTTGTATAAAAGATTAATGAAATTGATAAACTATTGGCTAGATAAATTAAGAAAAAGAGAAGACTCTCAGATTGTTAAAATCGGACAATAGAATGGGGTATCACCTGGACTTTAAAGAAATAAAAAAGGATTACAAGGAGATACAGGGAAAAAATGTATGACAATAAGGTAGATAATTTAGAAGACATGGATAACTCACTTAAGAAATAGAAAATCTGAACAGAAAATAACATAATAAGGAAAATTCATTTGGTGTCTGCTTGTGATCTTAGACACTTCTATCCCAGGACCTGTGTTTCACACGCAGTAAGACCCTTCCAAAGGTAACTGAGTTGTCGCTAACACAGTGACCACTGGAGGACATGGTCTGCTTGCCAGTAACACCAAGGCAAGACCAGGGTTGGCACATCCACCCTACACCTCTCAAGAGGAGAGACAGTGGGGACTGACCTCATCGTGACCATTAAATCAGTAAGCTACATAACAAAGCCTACAAGACCTGACAAATTTAATAGGAAGGAGCATTTCCTAACACATTTCAAGAGGCTAGTAGGGGCCTGATATGAAAACATCACAGGATTAGAAAAACAAATACACACATTTATCAATACAAATGTTAAAGTGGCAAATAAATAATTTGGAGGCTAAATGAAGCAATAAAATTATATAAAAGAACCAAGTAGAACTTGTCCCAGAATTGAAATTATATGAAAGAACCAAGTAGAACTTGTCCCAGAACTGTCTTCAGTTGATTTAACATAAAGTCAATTAATGCAGCTAGGTGTGTTGGAGCATGCCTATAATCCCAGCACTTGGAAGGTTGCAGCAGGAGGATCACCTCAAGTTCCAGGCCAGCCTAGGGTACATTACAAAGCAAGACCTTATCTCAAAAAAAAAAAAAAAATCAGTTGATGTAATAGGATAAAAATGAAACAAAGGACAAAAAGCACATAATTATTTTATCAGGCAGGAATAAAATTTTGACAGAATAATTCAACAAGTTTCAACAATAAAAACACTCAAATAGGAAAACCCACAGATTTCATTTTGAAAAGAATGACAGTGTCAGCCTAAAGTCAGGAATGGACGATTAAGTCTTATAATTTCTATTTAAGGTTGTACTTGAGGTTTTTAGCCAAGACAATTATAAAACAAAAACAAACAAACAAAAAAGAAACAGCATCCAAGTTAAAAAAGGAAGAACCAAAACAATCTCAGCTTAAATACGGCATAAACTTTTATACAGAAAATATGAAGCAATCTACAGGAGAAAATAGAGCTAATGACTGTTAGTGAAGCTGTAGAATAAAAGATCAATCTACAAAAACAGTTGCATTTCATTACAAGAGAAATGAACAATTCAGAGAAAGGGAATTAGGAAAATAACTCCGTTTATAGTAGTATAAAACATACTTAGATACGAATTAAGATAAAAGCAAGGTTTGTAAAGCTACAAAATTGTTGGAATGAAACACAAGAATGTTGGCACACGCCCATAATTTCAGCTATTTGGAGGCTGAAGCAAGAGGAACCTGAGGTTGATGCCAGCTTGGACAACATAGGAAGACTGTCACAAAAAGGCGGGGCTGATATTTACAAACTAGACTGCAAAAGATGAGAAAGATGAGTTAATTATTGTATGAAATCACAGAAAGTCAGTGTTGTATTCATATTCTGTCAAACAACGAAGTCCCAATTTGCTGAGATTCACTGACAAACCACCACTAACTTAAGGAGTACTTTAGGAAAAGGGTTTAGCTGGAGTCCTTATCAGCAGGATAAAGACTGAATGAGAATGAGTCACAGACAAGGTAAGGGTGAGGGGCACCTTCCACCGACTGAGAGAGAAAGGACCTAAGTTTGAAGGCAGGAAGCAAGAATTCCAAGATAGAAGAAAAATGAACAAATTTGAGTGTGAACAGAAGATTCAGAGGACAGAGCTTACTGAATTATAACTTAGAATTAAAAATATGAAAGAAATTTAGTAAATGTATAACAAAAATACCTTATTTTTCAAAAGCAGAATGCAAAAAATGACTTCAAACTTAGAAGACATCATAGAATAAGAAAAATAATATGAGCACCAATGAAAAGGAAGCTGAAATCCAAACTTGCAACACAGGAGGAAGCGAAAGCAAATGATGAATAGAAGTCATTATAAATCACAGGAAAAGCTTAGTAATAGGGATCTATATATTGCCATATATATAGATTCGTTCCCTGACTTGAGATATTTTGACCTCAAGAGTCATCTGAGCCTACATCATTTCAACCTCTCCAAAATAAGCATTCTAATATGTTCCCAACCACTTTTCTAAAAATGTGTGAAGATTAATATGCAATTTGTAAAGCACATTCTAAATAAAATGTGTCAGATAAATGCTAAATATTTGGCGGACTGAAAATTGTTAGGGGGTGTGACACTCAATCATACCTAAAAATAGATTCGTGGTAAAAAAAAAACATGACGAAGGCTCAAAATTTTCTTTAAATAAAATTTAAAAATAAAATTTTCTTTAAATAAAAGTATTGCTCTAATTAAGATTAGGTCATTATAATAATATCACAAAAACTATAATTAAAGACCTTTTAAAATACCTTTGCAGAAAACTATGTTAAAATAGACAGACGGTATTAGAAAAAAACATACAATTTGAGTCAATGACTTGAGAGGGAAAGGCTGAATTTAACCAAGTGAACTTATCAGTTGTGTGATTTATGCTAATTTAAAAAAACTACGTAACCGTTTCCTCCAATGTTGGATGTACATTATTGATATAATCATTGCAGTCACATCTTCATTTTCTTAGAAATAAAAAAGGAAGGGGATGAAGAGATGGGTGGAAGGGGAAGGGAAAGGGGATATAGAAATTCAGACTTGTTCTGTGCATTAGTCAACTCCCCACAAGGAATACACACATTATGTGCTACATACATGTGCTAATAAAAAGTACAAAACTAAAAAAAGAAAGTTTTTAAATTCCTAGAGAATTCTATTCAAATGATAATGACTTAAAGACTAACAACTTGGCCTGGGATTTAGCTCAGCGGTTTTGCCTCCTGCTGTGCAAGCACAAGGACCCAGAGTTCAATCCCCAGTACCAAAAAAAAATAAAATAAAGACTAACAACTTATTTTAACTATCCATTCAAAAATAAAAGTATTAAAACTTCAATATTTTCATCAATTGTGAAGTAAAAAAAATGACTGAAATTCTAACTAAATATATGTATGTATGCAAGATTTTCTACCCAGTTAGTACAGAATCTATTTAAATATATGTCAACCAGGAGGATGGGAAAAGGGTTTTAAATGAAATCGTTAAAAGTAACTTATTGAAATTCAATGGGTTCTCTGCTAGGAATTACTTTTCATATATATTTGTAAAGATATGTCAATATTTATTTTCCAGATTAATTCTGGGATCACTGTTTACATTATAATCTATAACCTTACTAACCTTACTGTTTATCATTTGAGGACTTGCTAGATAAATTCTGAAATATAAATATAGTATTATGCAGGTATTAAAAATAACCTAGTAAAACTTTTCATATTTTCAAATGGACAAAGGTACAAAACATACAAACTAAAAAAATGCTAAAAGTAATGAGAGGCCTTGGTACTTTTGGATAAGTGAGGAGCTCAGCAAAATCTCCCTATAAAGAGCAACAATAAAAATTTGACAAAATGGTCCAAAGCAACCATTTTAGTAGTGTGGACACTGATTGAAGGTACACAATAAACTGAAAACACAATAAATTTACCCATGAAAAAATTGAAATAGAAGCTAAGAAAGGTAAGAGACTAGCTGGGCACAGCAATGTACCACTGTAATTTCAGCTACTCAAGAGGCTGATGCAGCAGTATCAGTTCTAAGTCAGTGTGGCAACTTAGCAAGATCCGTTCTCAAAAATAAAAAAGAAAGGAAAGAAGGCAAGGGGAAAGGGGAACTGGAAAGGAAAGGGGGAGTCACTGGCATTCTTCCTTGGGGATGTAACCACCATCCCACCCCCCCACTCAGCCCAGTGGTTATGTTAGTTTCTCCAAGAACAGGAAGTCACGAAAACCCGTAGCTTTGGTGTAGGAGGAAACTCGGTTAACATGGAATAGAGTGAAAAACTCCATGACCAGCAACAGAGTCAGTAATACTACCTATTTTGTAGCAAGTGCATAGGTAAGACATGCAAATCAGCCAGCTTGATGGTGCCCTCTTGATGAAGCAGGTAACAGAAATGGAACAGGCAAGAAGTGAGATGGCCATGGAGCCCTGGCAGGCTCTCCACACAGCCCTGCGACAGTGAGTCTGTGTAAATGCGGAGGAGGGACCAGGAATCCCGGCAGAAAGCAAGTAGCAGGGCAGACATGAAAAGAGGCAAGTTGGGGTGCCCTCCCCAGTGCACACAGCTGCATCGGGCCACATGCAGTGCACATGGAAAGCTCCAGGCTGAAACATGAAAGCAAGGACTTTCTACCTCTGCCTCTAAAGCATGAGGGACACAGAATCCACAGGTGACTCCAACTAAACTGTTAAAGAGATGGAAGACAAAAAGCAACCACAACCTCCCGGGAAGTAGTAAGGAGCATTCCAACTTGCTACAATACATTATCTCACACCCCCAGTTTTCAACAAGAAGAAGCATGCAAAGAAACAGGAAAATGTGACCCATTCTCAGGGGGCAAAAACAGCAGTAAACACAAAGCGTCTTGCAGAGGGCCCAGATACTGAACTTACAAAAGAAGAGATGGAAATCGATAATGCAAAATAGGAAGAAAAGGTCCAAAGGGGTAGGGGTAGTAGGAGGGGCAGGGGAAAGGAAAGAAGGGAAAGGAAAAATGATGAGAAATGGAAAAAATGGAAATAAAGTCTTTGTAAATGGGGAAGGGTGGAGGGGGTGAAGGGAGGGCTAGGAATGGGGAAAAAATAAGAACCAAGATGCATCATGTAAAGGTACAAGTTCCCCAATGAGAAATGTAATTGTGTTGTATATCTAAAATGTATCAATAAAAGAATTAAAAAAAAAAGAGATGGAAAAGTGTTCAATAAGGGCGATGAACAGTTCACTAGAGGACCTCAAAGAGCAGGTTTGAGACGGCAAAAGAATTAATGAACAAAGACAGGTCAATTGAAATGATTCAGCCCAAGGAACAGAGAAAAAGGATGAATGAGCCTGGGACCTGTGTGACACCAGGAGGACCCACAGACCACAGTGGGACCCCAGGGTGGAAGGGGTAGAGAAAAGACAAAAATGTAAAGAAATAATAACTGAAAACTTCCCATGCTTAAAGACAAACATAAATCCATAGCTCCACAAAGCACAGCCAGCACAGAGGATAAACATGCACACCAAAATCAAATTGTTGAAAACCAAAGACAGAGAAAGTCTGAAGAGCAACACAGCAAAATGATTAAGGACTCTCTCTCATCCCAAGTATCAGGTCAGCAGGCAGCAGAGTGGTGCCTTCCAAGTACTGGGCAAGGACAGGATCGGTCAGCTAAGAAGTACATAACCTACTCCAGAATGTAGGTGAGATAAGGTCATTCCCAGAAAAAAAAAAAAATTTTGCTAACAGATCTAGGTTACAAGGAAGACAAGGAAATTCTTCAGGCTGAAAGAAAAAAACCATCTCAAATTAGGACTGTATGGTACACAATTCTATCCACTGAAGAAATTAACACCAGGAGCAGAAAATGTGTAGGCTAATATGAGACTATACTGTAATAATGTTCTACTATAAGCCAGTATCTCTCATGATTACAGATGCAAAAATCATTAATAAACCATGCCCAGCAACAGATAAAGAAGATTATATATCATGATCAAGTAAAAAGTAAATTTGGCTTCACATATTTGTAATACACGACTATTAGTAGAATGAAAACAAAAATGAAAAAAAAAATCACGTGATCGTCTCAATGAACATTCAGGAAAATTCAAGACCCATGTTTACCCCATTTATTCATGGTAAAAACTCACAACAACTAGGAATAGGAGAATTTCTTCACCATGATAAATGGTGGGAAAAATGATTTTGAAAAAGAACAAAGTTGGTGAACTTACACAACCTAAATTGCAAAAATCTACTGAGAGAATTAATTAATTTGAGTATGCTACTGGCCCAAGGACAAGCATAAAAATCCAAGGAGCAGAACTGAGAATGCAGAAGTAGACCCTCACTTTGATACTGGTTTACTTTTCATAACTGTACCAAGGCCACTCAATGAGTAAAGTCTTCTCACCATGTGGTGCTCGGACAGCTGGACAGCTATATGGAAAAAAGCTGAAATTCCTAACATCATGCCATACAGAAAAAGTAACTTGCAAGAGACCATAGTCTTAAGCAAAGGACTTTTTAGGAAGGCTGAAGCAGAAGGACGGAAAGTTCAAACCCAGTCTGGATAACTCAGCAAGAATCTGTCTCAAAAATGTTCCTAAGAATGGAATGTGGCGCAGTGGTAGAGGACTTGCCTAGCATACTCCAACCCCTGGGGTCGATCCCCAGTACTACCTTCCCCCTACAAAAAAAAAGTCACAGAAGAATACTATAAAACACTCCTTAAAACATAGCAGAAAATCTTTGTATTTTGGGGATAGGAAAAGAGTTTGCTTAGCCAACCCAGATCAGTGTCAGTAATGAGATCTTACTCCTTGGCAGAGGCCTGTAAAGGTTATGGGATAGAAGCCACTACTGCATCCATCAGGACCTGTCCCATCTGGTTGGGTCCATGGTCTCATCAAAGTTACAATTTTACAGTTATTTATACAAACATGCAATTCAAACCTGTCTGTCTCATCAAACCACAAATGCCATGACGGCAGGGACCATAGTGTGCCTGACATGTGCCTGTCACATGGTGAGCACTGGTTTCAAACTAAATGAATGCATAAGCTGTCATGTTTGCTTGTGGGAACTAAGCCAAATATTAACCACTATCTGTGCTCAAGGTGGTAAATAATGGAATTCTGTCATAGCCTTCTGAAATGAAGTATGATTTAACAAATTCTTTCTATATAAATAAAATAGTTGTCTTCATCACAAATGACATGCTCACAATTCAGTGCTACAAAACCCAAGTCAGTATGGCCTGAGATCACTGAGGACACAGTTTTCCCCAGACAGCTGTGTGAACGTCTCCAAACCAAAATGCTGAATGCCTTTGTTTAAAAGTCATGAGCACATGCAAATCACAAATTTTTTTTTTATCACTGACATACAAATCACACAAAAGACTTCTAACTTTTAAAATGGAGGCAAAGGTGTATTCCTTTTAAATAATCATTCTTAGCGATGTGACAGTATCCAAAAGGGTTGAAACAGAGTATCAATCATTACCAGAACATGTAACACCTGGCAGAAACTAGCTAAACTACCTGCGTGGTGCCCAGCTAGATATCCGCAAGTGTGGTCCTAACCACAGCATGGCTATGTCTGTCCATATGTGTATCATGCTGGCCTAAGACAGTCTGTTGGTATTTCTCTGTTTTCCCCTAAACTATGTACTTCTTGATGGTAGGGACTGCCTGCCCTTACTCATATCTGCATGTCTGATTCCAAGCACAGGGCATGACATGTGGAAGGCTCTGATGGCTATGTGAGAGCCACGAGTTGGTGAAGTGTTTTCAGGGTCACATAAAAGCTTACAGCCTGGAGTCCGAAAGCCTGAATTAGTGACTTTACTTTTCAAATTTTTTGCCAGCTAAACTAAGCAGTATTATTTAATCTCTCTCAAACTCCACTGCCTCAGCTATAAAGAACAAGAATACCACAGGTCTATTTGACAGGACAAATCCTTTGGATAGATAAAAAGCAACATAAATAACAATTACTGACAAGAAGTGTCAGGGATTAAAATAAAGAAATGATCATAAAGTACACATTAACTATCAATAAAAATTACACTAGTCAGGCACGGTAGGCACATCTGTAACCCCAGCACTCTGGCAGGCTGAGGCAGGAAGGACACATGTTCAAGCCCAGCCTCAGAAATTTAGAGGTCCTGTCTTAAAATGAACAATAAACAAAGGGCCGAGAACATAGCTCACTTTGAAAGTCCTGAGTTTAATCCCAAGTTCCCCTGAAACAAACAAACAAACAAACTGTACTAACAGGGATGAGAAACTTTTTGATTTCTTCCAAAGCATGTCCCATGCGGGCATAAGCTTCTGCAGGTGGGGCGAACACTTCGATGAGGACATGGAGATCGTCATTGAGGTGGAAGTATTTAGCTTCCCCACTTTTCCTCAACTCTTCTTCCTGAAAAAGAGACATCACATTTTAAAATACATCATAATTAGAAAAGAAAAAAGAAGTAAAAACTATTCAGTGCTTATTTGGCATGAGATTATCATGAAAGATTCACCCAGCAGCAAACACTACCCTAGAGAAAGGAGGTTTCAGCTCTACTCTTAAGCCTCACTCCCAGGCCTCTGCAGACCCATGAGGGGCTTCCTCCTGCTGCAAGAACGGTCTCCTTATTCCTGGTGTGGCCCACAGGCAGCCATCACCTGCCCTCTGCCACTGCACTGACTGCCTGGTTGCTCTGGACCCCTTCCCAGTGTGCTCAGCAGCTGCAGACTCCCCTGCACACCTCAGCCTGGTGAAGCTCCCAAGCTCACTTGGCACTAGCGATACCGCATGCCTGTCCCCTACTGGAAACAGCTGAAATACCTGAACTTTAATTCCCTCCAGCATCTTCCCTGCCTGGAAGGTGATCGCTGTGGGGCAGATGCCATAACTGTCTTGTCCGATGGTGTATGCTGTGTGTCTACAAATGCTCACTAGCACTGCTGGACAGTAGCATCCTTCTCTGTCCATCTGTTCATCTGCACAGTCACTGTATGTGTGGGCTCTATACTCTGAGAATAACACAGTGAGTGCACGATTTTATATAATTGTGATAAGGTTTTTTGCCTTTTTGGGGGAAGGTTACATAATGAAATTCAGGGATTCCACAGAGTGAAGAGTTCTCACCAGACTATTTTATAGGTTACAGATTAGAGGCAATGTGGTGACTGGGGAAGAAAACAGACTTTGAAGTTCTGTATCCGAATTCCAAATTCAACATTTACTAATAGGCCTTTGGGCAGGTTCCTTCACCCTCATCTTAAAGGGGTGATTTTAAACGGGAGTAATAGTGTAGCATTTATCTGGAAGGGTTGTTATAGTAGTAAAGAGTAAACACACAAAAGCCTCAGAGTGATGCCTAGAACAGACACATTGTATAAGTGAATGAAATATGCATAACTATTATTACATACCGGAACATTAATTACTCTATTACCTTATAAGTGACGTGGCTACAACATCTAGTATGATACTTGGCACAAACTGAAAGATCAACAGACCTCAGCATTACCGTGATTGCCAGGCAACACAGTGAGGCTGGGCATATCAGCCATAACTCCTACAATCTCATCCATGTAGCAAATAAAAGAAGAGGAATGAAGCTCCTGACAGACTTTGGTGAATAGTGACCATGTTGAGACTCTAAAAGGATGAGATCCATTTTAGAATGAGATTGTAATACTAAACAATAGCCTCCTTGGAAATAAACACATCATTAACTGAGAATTTTTGTAGACTAGAATTAAACTAGTAAAAATGATCAATTTCATCCAACATTCCACAACTGAAGGAATAGGGATCTCGTTATAACATAACAGATGGGATACTAATAGTGAATATGTTACTTGCATCATCTCTCGTCACCTTCAGTGCAAAGCTTTTGAAGGTCTAACTGCTGGATCACATGACAGTGGCAACGGCACAGTGGGAAGCCACAAGGGAGAGAAGGCTGCTGGCATGGAGTGAATGGGCCATTCCTTACTGTACTCAAGGCTTTGCAGAAGGAAACGATACTTAGGGCTTGCTCTGGCTTGAAACCTGGATGTCCCCGAAGGTCCCTGTGTTAAAGGCTTGGTCGCCAGGAAGCTTCTAGGGAGGTGGTGGAAGGTGTAGGCCCAGTAGAAGTGTTCCGGTCAATGTGGCTGTGGCCCGGAAGGGGACAGCAGGACCCAGCCCTACTCTCACTGCCTCCTGATTGTGAGGTGACTGGTTTCGCTCTGCTGTGTGCTCTGGTCATGGTGCACTGCCTCGCCTCAGGCCCAACACCAATGGGACCAAATGATCATGCATGACAGCTCCAGGGCTGTGGGCCAAGATAAATCTTTTCTCTTTGTAAGTTGATTATTTCAAATATTTATTATAGTGAGAGGAAGCTGACTGGCTTTACGTTGGCAGTTAGAGGCCCAAAGAGACAGAAATATCCTAGAAGGTTTTACTGCCAGCAGCCAAAGGTTGATAAAGTCGGCAGAGAATGCTTGTGTCCTGCTGAATGACAGTGTGGATATCTGTCCCTCTCCTACCTGATACTTAGGGTACTGTTTGGTTAACAATGAAAATATGACGGGATTGCAACATTTGGGAAGATTCTGATTATCCAAATGCTAAAGCCCCAATGAGCCTTCCACACTGCTACAAGTTTATCTGGTGAGGCTTTTCCTGGATTGCTTCAATAGCAGAGTGAGTTCCTTGATGGGATGGAAAGTCTCATGGTTTCCTACTGCTCCTTATTACCTCCTGCCCTATGATAAATCTCTCCTTGTTCCATGAATTCAGGGAATAAGAAATCTAAGTCAGATCCACAGGCGTAGACCACATGTATTCAATAACTGTCACATCTCCTAGTGTGTGACATTTCCTTCCAATCTTCCCAAGAAGGACTGAAAAACTTGTACTACAGTGATTATACAGAGAGGCGAATAAATATCCAGATGATCTGAGAATTAATGCAACTCTGATCTAGTGGTGTTGCACTAAGGGCCACTGCTCAGAGGGGCTTATAAAGTCAGGAAATACATGAACTTTTGATCCTGGTCCATTGACTGTGGGCTGAGTGGATCACAAATCCATGGTCTATGCTTTTGCTCTAGTTGCTGGGTGTCTTGATGCAACAAGAATGATTACCAATTAAAGAACTGGCCTGTTGTTTGGTGACCCAAGTGTTCAAAGGCATAAAAATGAGAGGATTGTTGAGTGGGTGATAAATGGTCTAGGAAAGATGCCCTAGTATCTAAAAATAGGGTGGTCCAAACAAATGCATAGCAAGTATGGACTGACTTGGTAGTGACCAGACCCACCGGCAGAGGTTTAAGGGCCTCAAGCCCCAGCCACTTCAGTGCTGCTCAGGGTGCTCTTAAGCCAAGTGGCCACAGCAACAGACAGAAGCTATGCATTACTTCCAAACAGACTTCTCTCTTTCTGAGGATGACTGCCATTGGTGGGTGCCCAATCTACTAACAGCAGAGAACAACCACAAGCCCTTAATATAGTAATATAAGTTTTGGAAGGACTACTAAACTCTAATAACAAGCTGATAATATTTAGGATCCCTTTCATTATATGGATAGGCAAGCACTTCCTGTTATTTGGACATAGAACCTGGATAAAGATTTGCTTTCCTCACTTTCCATCCATCTGTAAAACTTGGTTGGATGCCCTGATCGCTACCACTGTATGACACAAAACACTGCCTCTGACCAAGGTATTCCCTGAACAACAAACACAAGCAACAAAGCAATGGATTCCTGTCTGTGGGCTCCACTGCACCTATCATGTACCTCATCATTAAGGACCGTTAGGATACCAGCAAGTGTGGGGCACTTTACTGCAGGGCACCAAAGTTCACATGGACTTAACTTTCTCCTACTGCCAGAGCTGATAAGTCAGGGAACCGAAGTAACATCATTTGGAACAGCAACGCTTAGTTAAGCAGTGAACAAAGCCAGGGGAAACCTGGCCATGCATTAGAATCATTCTAAATATGTACTGAAAATGCATTTTGAGTTCCTACCCTAAGTAAGTTTGGGGCTTGGAATCTACATTTTAAAATTGTATTCCACACAAGTCTGATAACATATAAGTGTTAGTGTTAGAAAACCATGGTTTTATTAACTTCATCCAAAAGAAAATAATGAATTAATCCAGATAATAACTTTATTTCTCTGATTCTCAGTGTTCTTACATGTAAGAGAAGAAAAATGTTATCTTGTATAATCTTTCCCAAGGATAACATGGACTAATGTGTGTACAATATCTCACACAGTGCCCAACTCTCAATGGCTGTTCAATAAACATGGAATGGCTATTTTTATTATAAAAGCTATTATTTCAATAGGATTTGTTGTAAAGAAGCTAGATTTCATCTAACTTTCACATCAAAAACGCAAATGTTTAACATTTTATGGTAAGTGAGCACTGAATGTGAACTCGGTTCTTAATAATATAAATCTTTTAATGATGAGAAAACAAGCGACAACAGAGAATAACATAAGTGACACACATTATGATATGTGATGATCTCTTCCAGAAATTTAAGATGATGATCAGTAAAAATAACTTAGTAACTTTTAGCTTATCAAAAAACAGAACATTTAGCATGAATGCAAGTAGAACAACTGTTTAAGAATGGGAAATGATTATTAAAACACTTTAAATGAATTTTAATAACTTAATAAATGCATGTAATATCAATTAAAAGGCAAAAACAATATATATGCACTACCTAAGACAGGGATACCTTCTGAGAAAGGCACCACAAGACAATTTCTTTGTTGTATGAACACCACAAGATGCATAACAAACCACAACAGCTGCAGCACCACTGGACAATATAATCTGTGGGCCCATTATCATACAGGTGGCCCATTATTGGCCAAAATGTCCTTATGAAGTGTATGATTGTATGTGAAACAGAATGGAAGACCTAAAGGAACAAATCTAAAATGCTCATAGTGATGGTGATCTCTCGGTGCTAACTTTAAGATTGTCATATGCTACCCACAAGATGACACATTACTTACAGAATGAAAATGTACTTGTATTTTATATATGAATACTACAGTTATAGATGCAGCTTTAAGATACTATATATTTTGAAATTGGTGAAAGTAACATAATTTTCTAAATAGCATCAAATATATCAGCTTAATAACATTTTCATCTAATTGCACTTGAGATCCTCGTTAGCTCTTATATAACAGTATTAATACAAAGGATGACCTGTAATTAAATAATATCACCTGGCCAGATAAGTAGCCATTGTCTACAGTGAATATTACCTTAGCCTTGTCTCTCATGGAGCCTTTTCCAAGGATGGACATTTTTGTCAAGGTTTCTTCTTGTAAACGCTTCAGAGAATTGCCACGTGGACCCAAAAGTTTCCCCACAAAGTTGAACTAGGAAAAACAAACCAACCAATCAAATTGGTAACATTCATATTTTACAATAGTTTGCCAATCTTGAACATTAGGGAATACCACAGTATGCTATGCTTTACTCATTAATGACAGATAAAAAGTTCTTGCCGCACGCATCGTACTGTGACATATTCTACAAATTACATAAAATAAAACTAAAAATTGTAAAAGTAAAAAAGATTTACTTCATGCTAATCATTTAAGTGCTGGGTGTATTGTCATAAATTGTGAATGGAACTCACTTCCCAGAATTCCTGGGTTGCTATCTTATCAACTATGAAGGGTCCTATGATAGAGATAGAGCACAGATGAGCACAGCGACACCAAGTATACTGCAGTACGCAAGTAGCTGGGGCCTTGCACTCAGTCAGCACATAGATTGGGTTATCTGCCCAATAAATGGACTGACCCAGATGAGTCTCAAGGAATTCAGTAGCTGACAGAGCTTTATAATAAAATTCACTCATCTCTTCCCAAAAAAACCAGATCAGTGAATGTTTGCAATTTTACTTAACCTACATGGCTGTACTCTTATTTCATGAGTAGAGCATAAGTGAATTAACTAAGAGTATGGCCTCTCAGGTTAGACTATCATGGTTTATGGCATTTTTGCTTACTAGCTGAATGACCCTGGACAAGTTACCCACCTTCAGTGTACCTTAGTTCCCTCAACTGAGAAATAGGATGAGGACAAAAAAAACACTCTCAGGGATGTTCTGAGGATTAAGTGGGTCAAAACTCTGCAAATTAATCATTTAGAACAATGCTTAGCACAAAACAGACACTCGATAAATGTATCTTAAATAAAAGAAGCATGACTAGGAATTTCATACAACTTTAAAAGGTTTACGATAATGAAGATAACTCATGAACACTTCTAGCTCCCGAACACAACTCATCCTGTTCACCAGGGGGAAGCTGCTGTCTTTGGCAAGATTCTTGCTGACAAACTCATGTGTTGTTACTGCTTCTGCAGTGATTTATGCCGCTGCTGTGCTGTTGCTGTTTTTAAGAGAAAATTGTTCCCCAATTTATCTATGGCAATTGAAGTAATTTTCTTGAAATTAGTTAACATTTTAGAAAAATCGAAATGGTATTTTTTTCCTTGCCCAGTTTTAATTTCATTGGTCTTCAACCACAACTCAACTATATAGTTTTAACCTTCACATGTAATTACTTTTTGCTTTTTAAAATTTAAGTAATTTTCTTAAATATAAAAGTTATACTGAGAGTTTAAAAAGTCAAAAAGTACTACAAGTTGAAGGGGGAAAAACTGTCCTAACCCACCATTCCTGTCTTAGTCTTGCTGTCCATTTTCTCTGCTTTATGTATCTGAAAATGTCTAGTACTGGGGTACTAGACCTTCTCAGTTGCATCTCCAAGTCTTTCTTATTCTTTCTGACTTGACTCCATTTTACTTTCTGGAAGACTTAACTACATTTCTCTCCCAGATATCTACTGATGCTTTCATTTCTGCTATCAAGCATTTAAAAATATGACATTTTTATATTTGCTCTGTTATGTGATTTTTGGTTAGATTTTATAGAAATAATAGGATTTTATCATTCTGGAGACATTAATGGCAGCAGCCCTACTCTGCCTGGGAGCTCACAATACCTGCTCCAACAAGGGCTTCCTCTGCCCCATTTTGTGAGCTGTCTCTTTCTATGCGCCGGGCTATCCTCAGATGACTGTTTACTCTCTGCTACCTGCTCTAAGAAATGTAAGACTGGGGCTCCAAAATGCTGCCTGGAATTCTGCTTGTACACATGGACTTAGCAACCAGTAGGCTTCATTGGAAGTACAAAAGCCCAGAATTTTCAGGAAGAGCTAATCAAATCTCAGGCCAAGCATTTCCCAGAAGAGATATGCCCTGATCTCCTGTCTCCCGGGAGGAGTTGAAAGCCTGATTGTCACTCTATCACTAAGCATGCACACTTTCATTTAAAGGACATTATTTCCCTTATTCTCAACATGAGCCTCATCCTAACCCTCAGTAGTATCTATTTGTGTCTCAGAATTGAAGACTTCTCTTTTCAACATCTTTGGGAAATTACTTGTCTTGTAAATTACTTGTACTAGGGTGTGGAGAGGCAGAGGCCTCGTTTGATCAGATGAGAAGAACATATGGCAGTCCAATATTTCAGTCCAATATTCTATAGCTACTAGGAACTTTTAACCAAATTGTCTCTTTTTAGTTCTATTAAAATGTCCCATTACAACAACTGAAACCTAGAATTCTTGAGTCTGTGCAAGGTCATTCCACACTAATGGGCATATTCCTGATTGTGTTCCTCTTGCCCAGAAAGCTCAGTGCACTTCATTCTTGATTTTCAGGAGTCACGACCATCTATGCCCACATTGGGCAGGTACCACACTGTTGCTAACATTATCTTTTGTTGTCTCACTCTTTCTTTTGATTTTCACTGCTTTATACATTTATTAATTAATCTATATTCATTATAGCGAGTTCCAAGGATGGAATAAAAATAAATTTCTGAGATCAAACAGTCATATTTACATTGTGTCTTAAATGGTCAAATATTTCCTAGTTGATTACAAATTAACAGGTATTAGAAATCAGCCAGTGTAAACATCTAATTTTAGAATGAAGAAAATGAAGTCTGGAGAGTGTTACAATTTATTCAACGTCACCTGATAAAGTATAGGATTCTGATTCAACTCACAGAAATCAATAAAATGTTATATCACATCAACAGAATGAAGAACAAAAACCATGTAGTCATCTCAATACATGCAGAAAAGGCATTTGCTAAAATTCAACATTCATCCATGATAAAATAAAACATTAAATAAATCAGGTACTAAAAGATTGTACTTCAACATAATAAATGCTGTGTACAGTAAGCTGACAGCTAACATTACACTGGGCTGGGAAAAGCTAGAAGCTTTTCTTCTAAAATCTCAAACAAGAAAAGGATGCTCACTCTCACCAACTTTATTCACTTCATTGTAAGTCTCTGCCAGAGCAATAGCATGAGAGAAAGAAACACAGGGCATCCAAACTGAAAAAGAAGGAATCGAACTGTCACTAGAGATGACATGATCTTATATACAGAAAATTCCAAACACATTGCCAAAAACTATAAGAATTAATAAACTTACCAAAGTTGTAGGATATAAAATCAACGTATAAAAATCAGTGGCACTGCTGTATGCCAATGTCAACTATCTGAAGTAGAAATCAATAAAGTAATTCCTCATTTCAATAGTAACAATGAATGAATGAATGAATACATAAGTTAAGTAAATAAATAAATGCATGCATAGGAAAAAATTTCACCAAAGAGGTGAAAGAGCTCCAAACCGAAAACTATAGACACTGATGAAGAAATTCATGAAAACACACAGAAAGTGCAAAGACACCCTATGTTCTCAGATTGTAAAAATCAATATTGTTAAAATCTCCATACTACTCAAAGTAATCTACAAATTCAACACAATTCCTATCAAAATACCATTCTTCTCACAACTAGGAAAAAAAATTCAATGTTTGTACGGAACTACACACACACACACACACACACACACACACACCTCAAATAAAGTACTACTTTTGAGCTAAAAAACAAAGTAGGAGAAGTGATACTACTTGACTTCAAAATATATTACAAACCTCTAGGTAGGGTACTGGCATAAAAGCAGAAGTTTCAACCAATGCAACAGAATATAAAGGCTAGAAGTAAATGAATCCACCTATGGCCAGGTGAGTTTCAAAAAAGACGATAATATCATGCTTAAAAACAAGGATAGTTTTATTTTCCTGTAATGCAATACTGAGGAGTCAACCCAGGGCTTGTACAGTGAGCTACACCCTCATCCCTTTTTATTTTGGAACAGTGTCTTGCCCAGACTGGCCTTGAACTTGTGTGACCCTTTTCCTCCAGATTCCCAAGTAGGTGGGGCGACAGTCATTACAATATATGATGTTGGGAGGAAAGACATGGCAGTATATGCCTGTAATACCAGCAACTCAGAAGGCTGAGGCAGGAAGATCACAGAAGGCTAGCCTCACCAACTTAATGAGACCAGTTCCAAAATAAAAAAATTAAAAGGGCTGAGGATGTAACTCAGTAATAGAGTGCCTGTCTAGCATGCCTGAGGCTCTGGGTTTAATCCCTAGTACGTCAAAATAAATGAACGAATAAAAAATAAATGGGCCTGAGAAAAGTGGGTACCTTCATGTAGATGGATGACACTAGACCCTATTACCAGTTACAAAAACAGACAACAAAACAAACAAGAAAACCAAAACAATAAAACCCCACAATGAATTAAAGACATGAACATAAGACTGGAAACTATGTAAGTACCAAAAGAAGACAAATATGCAGGACACAGGATAAACAGGGTCTTACTATGTAATTCAGGCTGGTCTTGAACTCTAGGCAGCCAAGGTTGGCCTTGAACTCATGGCAACCCTTGGCTCAGTTTCCAGGGTGCTGGCATTACAGGTATGAGCTACCACACTTGGTACTGGGAAAGAGTATTTTGGATAACATTTTAAAAGCTTAGGAAAAAAAAAAACTAAAACAGACCAAAAGAATTATATGAAACTAAAATGCTGTTGTATAGGAAAGGACAACAGTCACCAGAATATACAGACAACACATAGAATGGCAGAGAATATTTGCAAACTATACCTCTGACAGGATTAATATCTAGAATATATAAGAGACTCAAAATACTGAATAGCACACACACAAAAAACCTGATAGGAAAATGAACATTTCTAAAAAGAAGACATAAAAATGCCCCATAGGTATTGAAAAATGCTCAACATCACTAATCAACACGAAAAGTCAAATCAAAACCACCATGAGGTATTAATTCATTCCAGTGAGAAGGACTATTATCAACAATACAAAAGATAACATGTGCTGGAGAGGATGTGGAGAAAAGAGGACCTTACACAGTGTTGGTGGAATGTAAATGAGGATAGCTATTAAGAAAAATAA